TTCGATACAATTGATAATTTTCAAACACAATTGTCTGTACTACTCTTGAAATATTGCACTGTGGATAGCAATTTAAAATCAGACAAAGTCATAGCCGAATTATTTGGACAACTTTATGAATATTTGAAAATAATATGCAGCACCCAAAGACCCAACGAAGGATTTGTAGATGCCATTACAAAATGTTGTGATGGCTTTAAATCTCGATTTGAGATATATTCCAAAAATGCCATGAATCAATTGTGGTTCAAAGACTTGTTGGTCTTCATAAGTACCTTGCATACTCAGATGCAAAATACATCGATATTCGGTGGTTTTTGGAAACAAATGAAACATATCGAATCGTATCAGGCTCTCTTAATGTTTCTATTGGAAACAATGAAATTGGCACCTTGTATTGTAGCTGAAACAAAATTAAATAATATCCGCTGTTGTTCCAGTTTTCGTAAACATATCATTTTAACATTTGCCAATGCTGCCTTATCGACGTTTGTTTTATATTGTCAAAATTGTAAAAATTAACCCATAGAGGAGGATGCTGTCTGTGTGGTGGATTATGATTTGGGGGGAGAGGAGAAAAATGTGAAAGTAAGTTTTGTCTTCGGAATAATTGCGTTTTTATTAAATAATATTTCATAGAAAACTTCTACAAAACCCCGAAGTAATTTTATGGAAATTAACTTCCTTGTCCGTATATAGAAATATAGCCCCTTATCAGTTAGAAATGTACCTCTTTCCCCTCAGCTTCTACATGAAAATAGAATCCTCAGTCCATCAGCACATATATAGAAAAATACTATCTATCTAGACCTAGAAAAAATATTTTTAAAAAATCCACACGTTGAACAAATTGTTTTTGAAAATCCACGCCTTGATTTTTTTAAATCCACGCCTTGATTTTTTAAATCCACGCCTTGAAATTTTTTTTAAATCCACGCCTTGATTTTTTTTTAAATCCACGCCTTGAATGTTTTTTCAAAAATCCACACCTTAAAATTTTTTTCAAAAATCCACGCCTTGAAATTTTTTTCAAAAATCCACGCCTTGAAATTTTTTTTAAATCCACGCTTTGAAATTTTTTTTTAAAAAATCCACGCCTTGAAATTTTTTTTAAATCCACGCCGATTCGGATTAGCAACAAAGGAGGGATCTAATGTAACACGGACGAAAGCACTCATTGTCCGGTAATGACATAGAAGCACAATGGGAAAGAATTGTCCACTCCCTACAAACTGAAACCCATGGTAGATCAGGAGTGTCGTAATTCTACTGATGTGAGAAACGCAGCGTATAGGGCAAGCCTCCAGACAGTAGCTACAAGTAATGTGATGGAGAATTATCTGGAGAAAAGAAAAGAGGAGAAATGTATTTTCCGAAAAAAGGAGAAAGAACAAGAAAAACGTGGCCAAATCGAGATATACAGGAGTCAGAAGGAATTCAGGAAATTTTACAAACGAGTAAAACACGAAACCGAATGCTTTGCTGCAGGCACGTCCTCCTGTAGAGATGAAAATGGAAACCTGGTGACAGCGTGCTGAGGATCTGGAAGGAGCATTTTGCAAAGCTTAATATGTGCCAACTATAGAGGAATGTCTCCTTCCCATCGCATATAAGGTGCTATCCAGCGTGATCAATGACATTATTGGACCATACCAATGCGGCTTCAGGCCTAGCAAATCCACCATTGAACAGATTTTCACTCTGCCCCAGATCCTGCATAAGACCCAAGAAAAACACATCGAACCATTTCACCTATTCGTCGACTATAAAGCCTCATTCGACAGCCCTATCCGCTCAGAGGTGTTTAAATTCACATCTGCGCTCGACATTCCTGCAAAATTAATACTGCTATGTAGGATAACTTTAACTGGCACAAGATCAGCAGTTAAAGTCGGAAAGCCCTTTATTACCGAACGAGGATTCAGACGGATGGATCACGTAGAAGGGGAAGGTCACGAATTCGATGGAAAGATTAAGTGGAAGACATCTCGAAGCAGGGTCTTTAAAATTGGAAAAACTGCGCACAAGACCGACGCGCCTGGATATACTTGTTTAGCTCGGCTTATGCAACAAGTGTTTTGTAACAAGCTAGCTAAGTAAGTAGCTTCCATATAAGAATATAGACATAGTTTTGAAAGTTTAAACCTCATGTCCCCATTGTAGTTGGCGATGTAATTTGGCATTTTGTGATCTGGGAGTGTAATACAAATTTTTGGAGAAAAATGTCTATATAAATCCAATTTTTGCTATAGCCTTCACATAAAGGTCCCGCCCTATTTTCAGTATTATTAAGTTTTTAACCGAATTTATCGAGATGATTATAATTGCTTATATCGGATTCTTGGAGAAAAAATTATTTTAAGAATTTTTTTTTCTATGAAAATTCAATTAAATCATCGCCATCATAACAAATTAATAATAATTAATCTAAATAAAAACCATGATGTCATTCAGACCTTTAGGTTCATTGTGGTACTATGTGGCTATGAAGAATCATCAAAACAAAATAAAAAAAGAAAACTATTAATAATATGAAAACTATTAAAAATTGAAAAAAAATAATAAAACAACAACAAAAGTGGTGAATTTATAAGATTTTATTAAGTTGTTAAACATTTTATATATCGCATTAGTATATAAAAAATAAATTATTATATACTAAAGTATCTGAAGTATATTTACCACTTTGCATTTCTCTTTGTCCGTGTATTTTTAAATACATATAATAAAATAAATCTTTGCAATTATTTTCTTATGATTTAATTTCTGAGAGACAAGGGAAATACTTTATAAAAATTCGTAATTTGTGTTGGTTTTTTTCTGAATGGAAATAAATAATAAATGTAAAAACAATTAAAATCTCACTTTTAAGAGATAGCCATCATATTTCTTTTGATTTTCTTCTTCTTCATAGAGGACAAGACACATTACAATAGTTTTGGTTATATGGAAGTAAATATAAGACAATCAATTATATTGATACAAAATTCAATATTTTATATATAGGTATGTATGTACACTTTATCATTGTATGAAATGAGAGATAATCTATTTTGTTGTTTTTATTTATATAGGTTCTGTTTTAAGATAAGTTTCGATTCGGCATTGTTGGAACATACATTATGATGTCAATTGATAGATTTCAAAATAAATATTTGGTGTATATTTAAAATAGAGATAATATTTAGTGGTTTATTTTGTGACAATATTTTCGGTTTTTCAAACTTGTATTTTATTTCTTATACAAATCCAAGCAGCACATATAATTCGTTGATATCATGATATTGGAAACGAGGACAGGTATCATGCTGGTTTTCGGGACATCTGAAAAGAAAAAATGAAAAATTGTCTAAATTATTTTTCTTTTAGATAATGAGTTTTCAGAAACAATATTGTAAAAAATAGTCTCCAAATCTAAAAGACTACGCTGCCGGTAAGCTGATGTTTCAGACAACACTGTTAAATAGGTCCTATGTCAAAACATGGACCCTTAGTAATATTTTTTACAAGAAGTTATTATAACATTGAGATTCCTTAATGACAAATTCGATCGGAATATGTCATTAGAATCTTTAATATTCCCAAAATGGGGTTTGGAATAATAAACCGACCTTCGAAATCCTTAAAATGTGGCTGAGCTGGGGCTGCCTGAATAAAATGTGCATGTTCTTCTTATTTGGGTTGTGACAGGACGTTTGTTCCATAAACCGAACTTAAAAAAAAACTTACGTCGGTCTTGTACGCAACTCATCTAATTTGAAAGTCCATATTCCGATATGTTGTCTTCCACTTTATCTTTCCATCAATTGATGGCTTTCCCCTTCTGCGTGAAACATCAGCTGGCTCGCTTTTATATATCTTTTGAACTGGGGCATCCTCATCCATTCTCACAACATGACCTAGCCAACGTAGTCGCTGCAGCTCGATACGTCTGACTATGCTGATGTCCGAGATAGATGGTAAAGCTCATGGTTCATTCGACGGCCATATTCACCGTCGACTCAGATCGATCGGCCCATAGATCTTCCGGGGAATATTTCTCTCAAACACTACAAGAGCTGCCTCATCTGCTTGAGCAAGTACCCATGCTTCAGATCCATACAACAGCACGGGTAATATCAGCGTCTTGTAGAGTGTGAGTTTGGTCTGGCGAGAGGTGGCCTTACTTTTGAGATGCTTTCGCAGACCATAGTAGCATGTTATTAGTTTTGTTTATGGCGGTACCGAGGTATATAAAATCGTTCACTACCTCGAAGCTGTAGTTTTCAAGTTCCACAGTTGGTCCGAGTCTACTGAACGTCTTGCGCGTTGATACCATTAGCTTGGTCTTCTCGCCATTTAATGCCAGCCGCACTTTGGCAGACACCTTCTCAATTCGTTCAAAGGTGGCTGTTACCGATCGCAATGTTCGACCCATAATATCGATGTGATCGGCTAGTAACATATGATGTTTGGTGCACGGAGTGACAACGCCATTTGCATCTCGTATGACCTATTCCATCAGGATGTTAAAGAGATCAGACGACAAACTGTCACCTTGTTTGAATTCTCGTTCCTCGTGAAGAGCTCCGCGTGGTCCACACACAGACATGGCTATAAACACCTCTGAGCGGATTGGGTATGCGGCTTTGTAGCGAAAAGGTTGATAATGTGCATATTAGAGCACAATTTATTTGAGCAGATTTTTTTTACTCTATTTTAAAAGTGGGGGCTAAGTAAGACCACATCAAACACGTAATATAGGTCGGAGAGTTTTTTATAGGCTTTGCCAATATAGGCAAGAACTTCCGAATATCTAAATTGTCAAAGAAAAATTCTGTATTAAAAAATTCTATAAGCGTAACACTTACTTATTTGTTTAGTTTATCATCCAATAATCCTTTGGCGGCTGATCAAATACTCCATTCCGTTGAAATTGTTCTTGCTGTTGTTTGTTTAATTATTGTTTTCTTTTTTCAATGCCTTGTCTCATCTATGAAAATATTGAAAACTCCCTCTCCTCTGTTCATCAAATTTAACTCAACACACGATCAGCAGCAATATTGAATGCATCCAAAAATACACCCATTGGCGTTGAGGGGCTCAAGCTAACTCCGGTAGCCAAATTTGTCACCTTATTTTTCAAATTCCTCAAACGCAGAGAAGCGTGAATAAATGTCAACGAGAAAGGCAACAACAACGTGAAACATGACAACAGTATAGCATCGAACCAATGCAACAACAAATATCCAACCAACAGGGCACCACCGAGGATATACCATTTCTGGTTATCACCACCAGCCGCTGGTACCCTCAAGCGTACAAATCTCGTCTGGCCACTGAAGAAATGCAAGATAATGGCAATGATCATAGCCTGTACGGTAAGTCCACAAATGATTTTCACTGGATTCACAATCATCATAAGGCCATAGATGGCCAAAAACAGAAGGAAATAATTCGTCTGGTAGTAGAGGAGATTCTTCACCACACGATTACCCCATTTGTCGAAATCCTTGATGTTGGGTATTTGAAACCTGGCCGAACCCAGTACGAAATCATCGAGACTACGCAAAGGTGGCAATTCCAGATTATCAGAGGCCACATCTACCATTTTTTCTGTGGTGGTGTTGCTGCTGTTGTTGTTAGTGGAGAGATAAAAGGTTTTTTCTAATTTTTGACACGCTTTATTTTGTTTGCAATAATGTCGTTGTTGTTATTGCTTTTGTTGTCTCCCAATATGTGGCGAATCGTCACCAGCCCTCTATATAATACGACACACGATAATTGTTAATAATGTCTGCCTTGTAGGTCTCTGGTACACTGCTTGTAATTTCAATTATTTCATAAAATACCCAGATATGAATCACGGCTGACGTACAGGGTATAGTTTTTCTACTACTATTTTGGTGTGCTAATAATACAACGCTGTCGACAGCGGTATTTATTTGGCAGACTGTGACAGTTGACATGAACAGCGGAGGAGAGTTATAATGAAGAGAGAGTATGAGATACTTTCGGTTAAGTTAAATGATGTTCAGCCAGAAGTTAGACAGTTAGAAGAAGGACACTCTTGGTCCATTGTGCCCATTCTGAGTTTGGAATTTTCGGCACGTTCTTATTGACTGTAAAAATCAATACAGTCAATAGCTGTAAACATCTATTGACTTTAAACATCTTCTTACCAAAAATTATCAATATTGGTCAACTCCTTGCGATAGACTCCATATAACTTCCCATTATTCAGTATCTTGGGGTGTTTAGACAAGTTTTCCAATACAACAGGCTATAATTTGATATGTTGTATTTCCATTGGATGATCCATCTTCCTATAAAAACATATAACATATAAAACATAACGATATCTCAAACTATTCGGTATTTTTGAGATTTTTGGCACGTTCAGGCATGGTCCGTGTGACGAATTTTTAGGTTTTCGACTGTCAAAAAGGTGTAAACGTCGAAAACGTCATATACCTGTTATAAAATGTAATAAACGTAGTAAACGTCATTTATATCAATATTATCAGCATACACAGTTATTTTCAAGAATATATATTATTTTTACATATATCTGACTATTCCTTACTAGAACTGATAACAATTAATTTAATTTTTTTCGAGAATAAAATTTTGAAATTTTATATGGATTTGAGTAAAGCATGCATAATTTGCAAATTGATTAATGTCGAAAACCTAATGGATTTGGGTTGGTTTCCGACGTTTCTGACGTATGTATTATACGTCGGAAATGTATGTCATTTACGTCACTGTTTCTGACAGGCCATCTCTGGGCACGTTTTAACCTTATTTGGCTGTAAATTGGCATGTTGAGTTTTCATTTAGTTGATAGATCTTCCTATGAAAAATTATAAATATTCCTCAACAAACCCCATATAAATGTATCTCTCATTCGGTATTTCGGAGATTTTGTGCAGGTTTTTTCAACCAAATTAGCTATAATTTAGTGTTTAGAAATCTATCCTACCAGAAATTATCACGGCCGAACCTAACGACTTCATTACTTGCTTAATATTCACCACCTTATGAGAGAACCGCTCTAATTTAGCTATTTGGATTGTACACAAGACGTAATTTGTAACATGGGATTTCGCATTTTTGGCGTTTAAAAAAATTCACCGGAAACAAATTTGACTCATATAGTCAACCCTCATTTTCAACATAGTTCGGCCCTTTATTTGATATCGCTGATAGCAACCAATTTGGCCGGCTCTTGACTTCTCTTATAGTCGATTTTGACCGCATTAAATATAATTGATCAGTTCCTGAACTTGCAATAAAATTTGACATATGTATTTGTTTTTGGTATTCATTTTCTAAATTTTTTGCTACCTCTTGTTATTCTCTGTCTCCGTATTGTAAATACGACGCCAAAATCATATGTTTTCTGTGTAACCAAACTGTCATTTTGGCAGCAAGATTAAACAAGTCCAAGGTATATTTATAAGGTAACCGTATCAAGGCAGATGATGGTAACATTATATGTCAAACAGAATTTTGTTATTTTAATTCGCCGTAGGTAGATAAAAAGAGAATTTAAATTTAAAAACAAAAACAATGCGTTTGCTTTTTATTGAAATACATGTTGTGAAAGAATTAAAAAAACCAATAACATAAATCTGGAATATTGGACTTAAATTTTTTGCGGAGCAAAACTATGCGGTGATTATCTTATACTTCAGCCTCTAACAATACCATAGTTATGACCTTCATAGAAAATGAAATAAAGTTATTGGTCCATTTCAAAATATCATTGCCAAAACTATTGGTTTTGCCTTTGACCAGAACGGAATGAACATCATAACTTAATGAAGTACAGATGGATGGGCACACAGATATGACTTGAATTTCAGTTGATACAACAGATAACATAAGAACAAACTCTACCCTTAAAGGAGATGAAATTTAAACAGAAAAAAGATAGTGGATTCTACACCCAGAATATTTTGTCCGTATTTGTGAATCTTGGAGCAGTTAAATTTTGCTAGATTTCCGACACCGAAACACGTTTTGTATGCCTTTATCATGGTATATTTAAATTTGTTTCGAATTTCATTTGGAGTCCATGGAATGCATTAAAATTCAAGGATAAATAGTCAACGCCCGGTTCCGTTCCTAAGTTCTTCATTGAATTTAAGTCGCGGTTTGATGTTCTTTTTCAATCACCAATCTGAATTTGCACAAACATTCATAATTTTAAAAATTACTAAAAAGTAAACAAATATTTTTAATATTTCAAAATGCTGAATTCTGATTGGTTGAATGAAATTCGCTTCAAATTTGATATGTTACGGCGAATCAATTATTATTTGCCTTGTTAACTATTTTGACATATCATGTTCCCAATTCGCCGATGCGGCTACCTTATGTATCTACCTTGAACAAGTCAATTCCGATTGGGGATTGGGGGTCTTGAGGCCAATCAAGATAAGGCAAAACAAAAACTCATTGCTTAGCAAACAAAAAGTTACACTGGATGTTATTCTAAGAGGACACCACAGCCTGTGCAGATGTATGCTCAAAATTGGCTTCTTTGGAAACAGGTCAATTGCAGGGCAACGAATTATGCCACTGTTCCGGTTTTTCAAAATATCGAGAACAATATTTTATTGGATTTGTATACCCTCAAACTCATGACTAATGAGTGTATAGGCTCTTTCTATGCCAAAAATGTGCCCCTTCGAAATATTGGTTTCAGAACCCCACTTTTTGGACAAAATCCGTTTCAGAGAATTTTTAGTCGATTTACAAATGTCCGTCCGTCCGTCTGGCTAATGCACACGATAACTCTCGAATGGAATGCCTTCTTCCTGTGAACAGCTGCTGGTATTCTGATTTCTAGGGAAGAGCTGCTGCCACTCTTTTTCTTGTAAGAAAATCTTTTTCCTATAGGAGGTGCAGGTATTCTGATTTCTATGGAAGAGCTGCACCTACCCTTTTTCTTATAGGAAAATCTTTTCCCCATAGAAGAGCTGGAGGGAATCTTCTTCCTAAAGGAGAGGTGGAGGTATTCTTCCTGTGGAAGCCCTGGAGGCATTCTTCTTCCTATAGGAGAGCTTGATGTATTTATCTTCCTATAGAAGACCTGCAGCTAATCTTCCTATGGTAGAGCTGCAGTTATTTTTCTTCCTATAGGAAAGCTGGTGGTATTCTTCCTATAGGAGATCTGGTGGTATTCTTCTTTAAATGTATTCTTTGGTTGCACATCTTTATATGTACCAAACCTTTATCAAATGCGAAGATGGAGCCTATAGGCAAATGATCCGACTTATTTAGGTATATCAAAGATTGGTCTGGCCCTTTTTTTAAAAGAAGTCAATCTATTTTTATACCTTGCAAAACTATGTTGTCAGGGTATTATTGCTTTGTGCAGCCCCAAGAGTTTGTAACGCTGCGAAATATTGACCCTAGACCCACCTTTAAGTATACCGATTTTCATATCTCGACTAGTTGAGTCCATCTAGACATGTGTGTAAACACGATACAGGCCACAGTTATGGAACAATATTTACGAAAGATGGGTTCTGTCCAATGAAGATCCTATTGTTGGTTTGGTAAAGATCACGACATAACTCTAGTTTAGTAAAAACGATCATATTTTTCTGAAATTTTTTCCAGAGGTAGGTATTTTTACCCTAATTATGGGAATGCATTTTTTTCTTGGGGGGCATACCCGGTTACACGGTTATTTGACCCGAAAGTTTGTGTACGGGTACCCGGTTATATCCGGTTCTACGGATCCAGTTAATATATCATTTGAAAGGTTATAAAAATACCTTTCCATTGAGTGGTAATATGATGGGGTTTTGGAGATACAGTCAAAAAACTGGGTTTTGGACCCCGATTTTTTTGAAAAACTCCCTAAAAGTCGAACTTTGGTCCATAAGGGTCTCTCTCCAATTCTGACTCAAATAATAGACCACAAATTGCCCTTTCCAAAATGGTGCGATATGTGGCTGTATCTGTTGGGGATCAAAAGATATGGGCCTTAGAACCTTAAAAAACACGGAAATTCTGTCGCGACTTTAAACCCCGGCCGCAGGCCAGCCACCATCATTATTATTATTTAACAGGAGATTCTGTCGCGTAGACGGTGTTGGTGTCTATCCATAGGAGAAAGTCTTAAATGTCCAAAAAACTATTCTATTTAAAAGGAGATTCGGTCGCGTAGCCGGTGTTGGTATCTGTCCATAGGAGAAAGTCTTAAATCCCCGGCCGAAGGTCGGTCACCCAAAAAAACTATTCTATTGTTGGTAACTGTCCATAGGAGAAAGTCTTAAATTCCCGGCCGAAGGCCGGCCACTTAAAAAAACTATTCCGGTGTTGGTATCTGTCCATAGGAGAAAGTCTTAAATCCCCAGCCGAAGGCCGGCCACCCAAAAAAACTATTCTATTTAAAAGGAGATTCTTAGCCGGTGTTGGTATCTGTCCATAGGAGAAAGTCTTAAATCCCCGGCCGAAGGCCGGCCACCCAAAAAACCTATTCTATTTAAAAGGAGATTCGGTCGCGTAGCCGGTGTTGGTAACTGTCCATAGGAGAAAGTCTTAAATCCCCGGCCGAAGGCCGGCTACTTCAAAAAAATATTCTATTTAAAAGGAGATTCTGTCGTGTAG